GAATAGTTTTAAAAATAAAACCTGAAGATGAAGCTGAGACATCGAAACATATTGTAATATATAGCGCAAATTGTAACATCGAGGAAACGATGAATAGCGCGAAATATTTATATCAATTTTAATTTTTAACATCAATATTAATATAGTTTGTGTATAGACTTGAAGAATAAATATATGTACAAATACATTACTTCCAAACATTTTACGTGTAATCAGATTTTTCCATACATTAATTTCTAATTAATATATTTTTTTTAAAAAATTTAAAATCGTAGTCACTCACAGTTTTTATGTTCGCATATCAATTCAAAATTCATGTATTTCGGTTCATGATCTTATGAACTTAATAAATCTGTTGCGTGGAAGTTCCTCTCAGAACGTTACTTAAAGTTTTTGGATCATACAAAAAATACATTGGCTCAGTAAGCATACTAACCTACTAATAATTTATTTTCATTTTGTTGTATTAACTTTTACATCGAGAGCAAACGAGACATTACAAAGTATGTCAGTACCATTGTCCGACAGTTCGTTTTTCTTACCGTACGATTAAACTGCATTGAAAGTTGTTCCCTTCACCCTGAACGAGGCCTTCTGGTGATATCTTTTCTAGATCAACGCCACAAATATCACATTTTTCCTGGGTTTACTTTCATTAGATTATATAAGAAACAAGAAATTGCTTGCAAAAGAGTGAATACATGTCAGAAGGGCGTGATGAAGGGAAACTTGACGGGAGAGCACACTGTCGCCATGGGAGGATAATATTAAAACGGATCTCATGGCAACGGTTGTGGACTGTATTCATATTACTCAGGATAGCGTCCAGTGGCGGGCTGTTGTGAACACTGCGATGAACATTCGAGCTCAATAAAATATGGGTATATCTTCAAAACTTCAGCAACAATTTGCTTGAGGAAAACTCTGGTGAATGAAGTTCGATTTTTTTTCCGTGTCTATCCTAGGCCAAAACATAACGAACTTGGTTTACTGATATACATGCAAACTTAGATATACAATACCAAGCTTGATCGAAATTCGTCACGTAATTTAAGGACGGTTACTTGCGAACGCATGTACATGTGACGAAATTAACACCTGGAATTCTAAATGTTATTTCTGCAAGGTGTGAAGTTGCGCGAAGTGATGTATTATTGCTATTCTCACAACCAGCTGATAAGTTTACTCGTTTAACATGCTGACACAAAAGATAAGGAAAAAACAGATTATCCACGCTTGTGGCTTATGTAATAAATGTGGGTTCTTGTAGACTGCAGAGTAAAAAATGCATTCGTTCGAATATTTTCCAACACACAGGCCATTCAGAATGAACTGTTTCGTGATTTTCTTTCAAACATCCCAGGTGAATGTGCTGACATTTTACAATAAAGAATTTATATTTTTTTTTTAGGATTCTGAAAAAATTATTCTGTGGCCATTTAAACGACGTTGTTTAAGCTACGGGTTTTACGTGGCGTCGAATCACATCAAAAGACAACCACAAACCAAACACAACTTAACAATATATTCATCAACATCAGTATCATTTAAAATCGTTCGTTCTGAACTTTGATCATAGTCTGAATTATAAAATTGCGTTTCAAAATCTGATTCAGGTCCGCCAGACGGTCCAAGAGATTGGTTTTCTGTCCTCTTCTCCCCCCTTACCTGATGACAAAATCACCACTTAACCACCTTCTCTAATTTATTTTACAGATTTCGTATTATAATAAAATATCAATGACGTAATTTCTCTCGTATTTTCAAACGCATTCTATCGTTCAATTTCACTTCATCTTTAATATTTTCTTTACATATCCTATCCGCACTAGTCCCACAACCAATTCCGTGAAACAATCGCAAATCAACTTATCGCTTTGACAAATACATTTTCTGTTCCAGGTCAAAGCTGGAGCGATTCGGATATGGGCAAACTGTCTGCACTGGCTGTGATAACATTAATGTCACTCTTCATGTTTTTGTGGTATCAAGAATATATTCAGAGTGTATGTGTCAGTACGATGCTATGTAGCGGATATACCCAAGCCGATGAGATTGGGATACTTCACACACAAGACACAAACATACATCACCTCAACAATTCTGGGACAATCTTCCAAAATAAATCCATACAGCATTTGGACAACACATCGAAAACAGTGCCAGATAATGTAAATACTAAAGAACACGTAAGTGAAAACTATATTCAGACCAGGATAATACCACGCAGTGAAACAAATACAAGTGGAGGAATGTTAAAAAGGATTCGGCCTGAAGAGGACCCAAATAAAATACAGGACCTCTTTAAAGCCACACACAGACCCAGTCCCGTGAGAAATATCACCGTCCCAAAAATGACCTCTATCGAAATTGAACCTACTGCCGGAGACAAACACATTATTTTCATCGAAACGCGGTGTTTATTAGACGAGTCACAAAGTCGTAGTGACCCGGGTCTTTCGTTACATAAACGACAAGCTTGCGTCATAGAATCAGCTGCTAAGATGAACCCTGATTATAAAGTGTATCTCTTGTATTCCTGTCCGATAAGTGGGAGACTCGATGATTCAAGCGAATACGTTAAAACAATTTTTACATACCCTAACGTGAAACTATGGAAACTTAACATAGCAAGACATTTCTCGGAAACGCCTCTGGAGAAATGGGACTTCCGGGCAGCGATTAAGTCATCAGAGTGGCCAAACGAACACTCCAGTGACGTGCTTCGGTTCCTGACACTCTGGAAATATGGAGGCACTTATCTTGACCTGGACGTCGTCATTCTCAAGTACGTACCAACATATCCAGGCGGTTTACGTCTGTTAAATTGAAATCAGTGTAATAAAAATAAGTACTGTTCTGTGGCATCTCCACAAAAGAAACGGGTTCACTTTTTAACCGGGATCACACAAATTATATTTCATTGTCATATTACAGTTTTCCGAGAGAAAAGTCTTAACAGTCTGCATCCCTTCTCCAAATCTTCCATCCGTCATGCAACAATTTCAGTAAAGAACACACACACTTCACCCGTATGAAATTCAGGCTTACGTTGGAGAGCTGTGTAATGATAAATGTAGTGTAATACAGGTAGCCCTCGATTTGCGCCGATTCAGAATAACGCCGATTTTGAAACCACCAAGTCAAAAATGAAAAAAAAAAATACTATTATTTATAATGTTTTACAATGTTTCTCGTACTGTTTCTTATATTAAATCGTAATTCTTACATCGATGAGCCGGGATAGCTCAGTCAGTATAGTGACTAGCTACAGGCTGGACGACCGGGGTTCGATCCCCGACGGGGGCAGAGGATTTTTCCTCTAGCC